TGACATGAAATTTTCTACCCAGGTTGGCTTCAAACCATAATCTTCAGATCTCTGCCCCCTGAATAGCTAGTATTTCATTTTAAATACAAAATTCTTAAAGTACATTCATAAAATAGGGCCTCAAAATAGTGGTAAAAGTGGATTTGAGTTATTTTCCTGCCTGCTGATGACTTGTATCCTGTTAATATGCACAACTTCTAATCTTCAAATCATTTTATGTTCTCTCATCAAATTTTCCTCAACGACTTGTTAACTTCTTCATATCAAATGTAGTGTTATCCAATTTTAAATCAACTTCACAGAACCTGGATTTAACTATTTACTAATTTACTCAGTGTCAAAAGCTGTTACAAATAATTCACATGGATTAATTCACCTGTCTTCTATCAGCCTTATCAGGCTGTTGTAATTTTATTTTCTAGATGAGGGAACTGAGAAGAGAGAGTTCATTTACTTTCCAGGGGCATTTGTCTTGTATGTGAAAGAGCTGATTTCAAACGTTGTTGTTGGGACTCAGAGTCTGTAGAGCAAAATGTTACATGTCATGTAATATGAATCATTGAGAACATGTCTTTATCATCAACAGCCACACTTCACAACCCAGAGTTGTAACCATAGAGCTGATATCTCTCTGTGGAAGGGTTGCAAAGCTCCAGAAACAGAACTATTCATTTTGGAAACTCCTGTAATGCTTTGGACTTTATCTTTTTCTTTCATGCACTGCTGGGGTGTCCCTCTACTCTGGAAGTTTTAGTAAAGACAGAGTAGGATGAATCCTATTACTTAGCAGCTCAGCTTCTGACGCCCCTACCCACCTGAAGACAGAGGAGAGGACACTTCTATATTGACTTTGAAAGATTCCCAGAGACAGCTAAACACAGTGTCAAGGATGTACTTTTGTGCTTTCATGTATACTTATTAGTGTATTTCTTGTCCACGTGTAGCTTAGAAACCATCAGAAAGCAAGGCAGACACAGGACCACAGCTTCCCAGGATGAATTGTTCTGAGGGTGCTCACAAGGTGATCTGCATCACTGAAACTAGCCCATACCACCTTCATCCTTCTGCCTTCACTATAGAGATTCATAACAACAGTCCAATCACAAATGCATTATGGGAAGCCTCACGTAGGCTAAAGTAGAACATATCTTTGTTTATTGATGCTTTGTAAGAAATTCAAATGGTAAGACTTGAGCATGCCACTTATTCATTCATTCTTTGATTACTTATTGGTGCCAGGTACCAAGCTAGAAGCTATCAAAGTTCTTCCATGGTTTTGTTTATATATTTATATACACATATTCTATACATTGTGAAGTATATATAGAGAGTATTAAATAGTTGTATAAGGGAGTTGGATTGAACAAAGTAGTTCATGAATACAGTGCATATTGATCAATGTCATCCCTTTCAACATTATTTCCTATCCCTCCCAACCCATGCTTTCCCTCCCTTTTCTTAATTTTGTAGGATATACATTGAATTCTTGACTCATTCTCCCTTTCTTCATTTCTTCATTTATCTACTCCTTTCCTCTTGTTTCACTCCACCCCTTTCAAGTATCCATTTCTTGTGTTTATTTTTTGAAATATTATTTAGCCTTTCTAAGGAATTCCTATTTGAGTTCTCCCTTGAATCTACCACATTTAAGTTCATATATTTGAATTTTATGTATATGTATATTTTATTAACTCATTATAGCTTTCACATATGAGAGAAAACATATCTTTTCTCTCTCTGGAATGAACTCATTTCACTTAATATAATATTCAGATACTTCCATTTCTTTGAAAATAATGCAATGTATTCTTTCTAATGAATGAGTAAAATTCCATTGTGTATGTATATATACCATATTTTCTTGATCCACTCATTCATTGAGAGGCATCTGGGATGATCCCATACCTTGGCTGCAGTGAATGGTGCTTCAGTGAACATGGTTGCCGTAGTGGCTTGATGACATCTTGGTTTGTAATCTTTTGGATGAATGCTTAGGAATGGAATTGCATCATAGGGTTGTTGTTGTTGTTGTTGTTGTTGTGTGTGTGTTTACTATTATTTTTAATAAATTTTTTATTGTGAAAATACCGTACAGAGGGGTTACAATTACATGAGCAAGGTAATGAGTACATTTCTTATCAAGCATTGTTGCCTCCTCTTCTGTTTTTCCCCTTCCTTCCCTGCCCTCCCATCTCCATGACTACGCTCTCCCCCCTCCCACCCTGCCAAAGTTGTAAAGTTCGTTTTTCGACATAGCATCTTGTACATCTCATTGTTGCAATTGGTGCTTAGATTTTTAAGGAACATCCATACTGCTTTCCAGAGAGGTTGAACAAATTTACATTCCCACCAACAGTATCTTAGGTTTCCTTTTTGCCCACATCTGTGCCAGCATCTGTTATTTTTTGCATTCTTGATGATGGCCCTTCTAAATGGCTGATTTGGAAATCTCAATGTTGTTTTGATTTGCAATTTTTCTATGGCCAGAGATGTTGAACATTTTTCATGTGTTTTTTGGCTATTTTTACTTCTTACTAATCAGATTTTTATTGAGATTTACTGTGAAAACAAACAGCCCCCCCACCAATAAATAGTAATGTTTAGGTTCTGTGCCCAACACCATGCTAGGTACCTAGAGTGAGAGAGTAAAATAATCTACTTTTAGATTAATTTTCATTCCTGGAGATGATAGTGGAAGATTATGCTAGGGTCTGAATATAGCCTCTCACTGTTGATTGGACACTAGTAGTAGATTGACCAATAACATTGCCTTTGCATTTTCACAAATAGATCTCTTGGGATGAATGCTGTGCCTTTCATGGTGGGACTGCTCACTAAGGCTGAGTTGAAATACAACTGGGGAATTTCTTTTACATAGGGGCCTGGTTAAATTACTTATGCATTCCCTTTCATGTGCTCCCAGCCACATTTTAATCATTACAGGCCTTGAAGCAAGAATGCTTCCCAGGGCTCTGGCCTGGCTCTGAAAACCTCTCTAACTCAGCACTTTGCTATCATAATTTGTATTTTCACCTTTCCTCTTTAATTGACCAGGTGTTAGTTTTTGGATTCTCTGATTTTGTTTTAAATCAGTGTCTGTGTGAATCAGTGTCTGTGTCAATATAAATGGGAAACAATGACTATAAAATTAACTTACATTAATTTCTCCACATTTTATACTTGAGAATCCAAAATCTTTCAACAATTTGATATAGTCTTTACAGCCTTTTTGTGCAAATGAACTTAGAATTTACTTATCCTAGACTCTCTCTCTCTTATATATCTATATAATATAATATATAAACACATAGGCTATATATATGTAACATAATTTTACATACATAGCCTTTTTATATGTAACCTAAGGTAAGTAAATATATATTAATATATAAATATATGAATATATAACTACATTACAACATATGTTTTATAAGTGCATATGTAATACATATGTTATATATACACATGTATAACATATTTAAGGATACAAATACATATATAACATATATATCCATATATATATATACACTCTATATACATACATAACATATATACTAGTATATATATATATATACATATGTACTAGCCTAATGTAAGTAAAGTATATATATTTTTTTTTCCTTTTTTTTTTTTTTTTTGAGATCATGGGGCTTGAACTCTGGGCCTGGGTACTGTCCCCCAGCCCTTTGGCTCAAGGCTAGTGCTCTACCATTTCAGCCACTGAGCCACTTCTGGTTTCTGAGTGGTTTATTGGAAACAATGTATTATACATTATTCAAATCCTTTGAAATTGACACAGAATATGGTGTGTGTGTGTGTGTGTGTGTGTGTGTGTGTGTGTGTGTTTGTGTGTGTTTGCATGAATACAGAGGCTTGAACTCAGGAGCTTTTTTTTTTTTTAATTGTGAAAATACCATACAGAGGGATGACAATTACATGGGCAAGATAATGAGTACATTTCTTATCAAGCATTGTTGCCTCCTCCTTTGTTTCCCCTTCCCATCCCTTCCCCTCCCCTCCCCCCGCTCCTCCCCCTCCTGGCCAAAGTTGTAAAGTTCCTTTTTGAACTCAGGATCTGTAACTTTTACTACTCAATGCCCATTTGTTAGGAAATGGAACGACTTGGAAAAAATTATATTAATTGAAGTAAGCCAGTCCCAAAGAAACATAGGTCCCATGGTTTCTCTTATTTGCAATAATTAGTACATGTGTAGGACAAGCAGAAAAGGCCAAAAACCATGTACATATGACCATATAAGATGATGTTAAGTGAAATGAAACCCAAGATAGGCACACAAATATCTTTTTTCTTTCTTGCTATTTTTTGTAACGTATTTATAATGTAACATGATTTTTTTGTTGCTTTGTATGTTCCTCCCCCATGGTATAACCCCAATTTTCACTGTATTTGATGTCGGTGCCCTGCATCTTGTATATACACTTCTTTAATTCGGGGAGGGGAAGGGAAAAAACAAAATGCTTAAATAAGGATACAGGTTGATCCATTGTAACAATGAGATGTACAAAATATTATGTTGAAAATGAACTTTACAACTTCAGGGGGGGGTCGTTGTGGAGGTAGGAGGGAAGGGATGATAGGGGGAAAACAAAGGAGGAGGCAACAATGCTCGATAGCAAATGTAATCATTATCTTGTTCATGTCACTCTAACCCCTCTGTACAGCATTTTAATAATAAAAAACAAGCAAAAAAGAAAATGAATTAAGTTTCATTTTGGAAAATATTTTTCCAGGAGAACATTCCTAAGTAAATTCCAACCACATCCTTAGCTTTACAAAGCTTTTAAAACATAGAACAGTGCAATCTGTTTTTCATGCATAATCTTTCGGTTCATTAATTGGAGATAAGAGTCTCACCGCCTTTCCTGCCCGGGCTGGCTTTGAACTGTGATCCTCAGATCTCAGCCTCCTGAGTAGGTAAAATTACAGGTGTGAGCCTCCAGTGCCTGGCTAACTATATTTTATTCTATGTAATTCTCAGGTTTGGTGATGGTTACACAGTCAAAATTTGGCTCTCAAAGGAAGCAGATCAACCTGATACTATTTCTGACCATTTAAAGCTCCATTTTCCAGGAATCCAATTTAAGGTAGAAATAATATCCTGCATCATCTCTTTAATTTTAGCTGGAAACATCTTGTACATGTACTTGGCTTTGTTTATATTCTCAACTGTGTAAAGATGTGCCTGTTCTCTAATTGATTAATTACTATACATTGAACAGTTTCCCTCCCATGAATAGCGAGGGTGGCTGGTGTTCTTGACCACTGTGGAGGTGATAAGCCTGTGTGGACCCTTCCTAGCCTGCCCAATAGACTGTGACTACACAGTAACCTTTCTACCCAATGGTCACAGTTCCACTGCATAGGTCCTTTTGCTTGGTTTGGAAGATTTCAAAAGGAAATTTCTTCCATACATTTTCTGTAAGGTTTATAAGCTTGATCATTTCCACATTGTTTCACAAGAAGAATCCCATGCTTACACTCAATTCTCTTCTAATTGAATATGGCCCAAGTTTGCCCCTGGACCAACAACCTCTTCATCATCTTGGATCTTTCAGATATGCAGTCTCAGGTTCTGACCTACTGAATGTCACTCTGCATTCTACTAAGGCAAATAAGTTGTCCTTATGCACATTCATGTTTGAGAAGCTCAGCCTGGTGCTGCTAGCTCCCACCTCTAATCCTAGCTACTCAGGAAACTGAGATCTGAGGATGAAGGTTCAAAACCAGCCCTGGGCCAAAAATTTACTGCAACTCTTATCTCCAATTAACCAACAGAAATCTAAAAGTGGAACTGTGCCCCTAGTGGCAGAGTACCAGCTTTCAGCAAAAATGTTAAACAAGAGTTCAAGTCCCAGTACTGGCACGAAAGAAGTTGGGGAAACTCTTTTGTAATTCTTTTAAATAATTGTCCTTCTTATTCATTATAAGTAGCTATTCCTTATGTATATCCACAGTCAATCATTTGTTGGAATCCTACCATGGAAGAAACATGGTGCCAATGTGCCTATCATTTCTACTCCAGCACCATCTAGATAGTTTTGTAAGATGGTCATCACTGTGCCTACGAGAATACATGAAAATAAGGATCATAATGGCTACCCATTCTGCCAGAGTTGCCTAGTTGCTCTACTAAAGGAGAGGCAATGGTTGAGCTATAAACCATGTATCTGAATGTGGAGTTTGTGTACCTCCAGATGCCTCTATCATGGCACATATCTTCCTGTTTGTGGAACATCTATAGGCAACTTGTGGCCTACAAGATGACCTCCTGACACTCATAGCAAGGTGGAGCACATAAGAGACAGAACAGTAATTCAACCCAGGTGAATGCTACTTAGCATATTTATGCTTTGGGTTAAATGCTCATCAAAAAGTGTTCATTGGTAGCTCATAAAGCTAACCGGCACATCTCATTGGTACTTACATATGTGGCTTATATATTTTAATATATGTTTTAAATAAGTGTAGTGTGTTTAACTTTAATAGTCACAAATTATGATTCTTTTATTTTTTGGCCTCTAGGGACAGTGTCATAATTTATTGGAATACCACGTTCCCAAAACATGGGAGTGTTTAGCTGACTTATTCAAAGTTCTAGAGAACAATAAGACTCTCCTGAACATCAAGCATTATTCCATTAATCAGACCACATTGGAACAGGTATGATACTTGGAATGACTGAGCAAGTAGAATTTTGGTAGCTTCATCAGATCTAATGTAGCTGATTTTTAAAATAATTTGTATTGCTCCTTCAGTTTACCACTTCTTATAATTAATCTGACAAAATTCTGAGTCTCTCTCTCTCTCTCTCTCTCTCTCTGTATCTTCAAATTGTTCATAGTTATATGGGGCACTTACAAGTTACATCATGTTATATTAACTCATCCCTCACCTTTTTATCTAGTCCCTGTAGTAGTAACTGGACTTTGCAGTAATTGTATGATAGCTGACTCTGGAGGAAACTAAAAATATTTGCTTTTTTAAGAGTACCTGAAGTTTAAAGTCATACCACAACTTCTTTTGTTTTTAAACTGTGCTCCAATTATTGAGAATTTCCAGGTGATTTATTAATAGAATCAGTCTTAGAGGTGAATCCTTAATACAGTTACACATTCATGATGATGAAAGAGAGGATGATACGGATGTGTGATTTCTGGCTTTGGGGGTTTGTTGAGCAAGATTCTGAGACAATGTCTCCCTTGTAGTTGAGCTGGTAAGGTTGGGTGTTCATCTGGGTTAGCAGTTATTTTCATTATTTCTTTCAGGTGTTTATTAACTTTGCTGGTGAGCAGCAGCCAACTTTGCAATCTACTCCTGATCTGTATGCTAACAGCCAACACCTGTCTCACCTGCCTGTGTAAACCACTGATGAAGCCTACCTTGTCTTCCACTGCAATTGATATTCAAGAATCAAACATTATCTCCAGTGCTCAGGATCTTGACGGCAGGAAAATTATATTTTCTCCTTCATTGTCTATTTTGAAACTGTTTAACAAACAGCCAACGGAAAGGTCATTCTTTCTCACATACCTTTGGGAGTTCCTCCAATACATTTACTCTGTTTGTTAACCCAGGTAGTATTAGCTTTTTGGGAGGAAAACATGAAGAGTCCAATTAGAGAAGTTCTGGAATGAGGTAGGCCATCCATAGTTTGTCATGTCAAGGATTTAAGACACTACTTTTTTTTTTTTTTGGTCAGAAACAGTATCAAAGACTATTTCTTTTTTAAAAAAAATAGATATGATTATGTTTCTAAATTAAAATTTAATGATTTAAATGCAAACTTTTGGAAAACTGAATGATATATGGATTGAAAAAATCCATTTTTTTCAAATAATAAATGCTTTTCAAACTAGGCATAAAGAGCTATCTAGTTTTGTTGATCCATTAGTAAAATTAAAGACATTTGAACTAGGTGCTTTTCATCATTAGTAACAGTTTAACCAGGACCTCACAGACTATAATTTTAATAGGAGAATTGAAAGAAATAAGATATAGATTTCTTTCTTAATTTGGATAAACAATTGCTATTTTATTGTTAGTCTAAGCCAATGGTTGTTAGATATAGTAGTTTTCATATCATGTACATCATTGGCCTCTCTTCAGAGTTTGGTACAAATGTAAATCTCAGTCCTGGGTCTGGAGCCTGGCAATCTGTGTTTAAACATTCATATTCTAGTTTGACAATCTGGCCTGTAGACATGTCTAACTACCTTCTAATTATATAAGCACCATCAGAACATTGCTTATGTAATTACTGAATAGTAATTTAAATTTTAGAGTAGTAGTTACTGCATAGTAATTTAAATTTCTTAGTTTTCTAAAATTATGTGACTCTCAGAATTATTGTCCTCAAAGATGTGGCTCCCCAAAACTATTAATCTAACAACTCATATCGTATAGTTAAATGAAATGTAGAAAATCAATATATCTACAAATGAAAGTAATTTCCTGTTAGACATTTTTGAGCATTCTTTTAACAACATGTATCTAAAAGCTCAGTGAAAAATCACATTAACTTTTTTTTGACTCTATGGAACCTTATCATTGAGCACCAGTAATCTGTGATAGAAAAAAACACTTCACTGTGTTATTTTTTTTGCAAAGCAATATTTTAGTAAATCTATCTTTCATGAATATCATTTTATTGGATGTTTAAATATGATGAGAATTAAGCTAATCATGAATAGTTTGACTTGAGTGTATTTGACTTTCCTACATCACATGAAATATGCTTTCTTAAAGTACACAATTTGAGATTTGGTGATTGTTCTTTAATTTGAATTCTAACAGACTATTTTTGTTGTTGAATCAATAAATACCAATTTGTGAAGCATGAATATATTTATGTTGCAGTGAATAAATGAGATGTGCTGTAATTGAACCTGGTTTATGGAATGTAATTGTGCTTTGGCCAATATATTTCTTTGTATCTTTATTTTTGTCTTTGGGGATCCAATTTAATTTAGGTAAGAAGGAAATGGAACAACTCCAGATCTTTTAAAGTTTGAAAGGTAAAATTTAATTGAGTTTTGCTCTGAAATGTTCTTCTCTTAGGGGCTCTTTTCTGGTCTTTGAACTGCTGTATTCTTGAAGTTTATGCTTCAAGGTAGGCCTTTGAAAAATAAACAGGAAGAAAAAGAAACCCAACATGCAAAAGTCCCCCATCCCAGATGACTGGACACAAAGGTCAAATCTTATGCTAATGTTGAAAATGTCATTGCATTTATCAGTCATGCAGATATTTTATGCCTTTGGAGTTAAACAGTTGTCTTAAGACCTTTGAGCTGAAGGTCACTCAACTGAGACTTAAACCAGCTGCCTTCTTTTGAAATCATTTTGAGTAAATTATAAGATGGAAATAAGAATATTAATTACATTTTGTGTGATCTATCATTTATTATGTAATTTAACCTTTGCTTAAACATAAAGGTATATTAATGCCCTTATGCAAAATCAAGATTGCAAAAACAAATAAGACTCCTTATTTTAAGAATAGTAAGGCTTAAGGTTGTGTAGTTATCTTTTATTTAATGGCTATCCAATGGAAACTCAGCTCAACGTGACCATTTCTAACTAAACACAAAACTAAAAACACTGCACTTCCCATATGTACACTGTCAATGTTGTGAGAATATCCTGAAAACTACATTTATCACAGATTTTTCTACCATAATAGAAGACAGACACTCAAAATGTGAAAATTGTGTAGCTACACAGAAGGCTGAAAATTGCGGATTTTGGTTTGAAGCCAGCCTAGGCAGGAAAGTCCATGAGACTCTTACCTCCAGTTAACCACCAGAAAAGCATAAAAAAATTAAAAATCCAGAAATAGAAGTAGGGTATGGCTCAAATGGTTGAGTGCCAACCTTTAGTGAAAAAGCTAAGCAATAGTGCCTAGTCCCTGAGTTCAGGCCCCGGTACTGGCGTACACACAAACACACACACATACACGCATGCACAAACACACACACATATACAAGCACACACATGCATGCACACAAACATGCACATACACACACAAAGTTTCAAGCTGACTTGACCATGTGTAGCCTTTGGTACAAAATTGAATTTACCAACTTTGATCATTTCAAGCCCTTCATACAAACACAGAGAAATACACCCAAACACAACCATGCACAATATTTATTCTTTGAGTTATATTTATTGTGTTACTCTGTATACATAGGAAATTAGTGGGTGCTATTAACATGGGGCTGGTGAAATGAGAGATCTTGGTCTATGAGCAGCACATAAACAGTCAGGGACGATGAGGAGCAATCATAAGCAATGAGTGCTCCCTGGTGTGGGCCACAGAGTGATCCACTCTCTCTGGGAGTGTGGCAAAAGATATAGTAAGAGAGTTATTATCTTTATTAGTGACGAACAGAGAAAAACAACATTTGAAATTAGAGAGCATCAAAGCAAACCAGCACTATTTAATGAACAATGGATGTTTGTCTGTTACTTTTGGAGGAAGCTGATGTCATGCTTTATCTGTATCTACAGCATAAATCTCATATCTTTAGAACTTCTCCTACATTGCAGTGTCTCCTTAGAGCTCTATCAGAATTCTCAAAGAGACAGAGAAAAAGAGAGATCACAGTTATATAAAGAGCTTTGCTTATAGTCGAATCCCATACATAGTCTTATATCACATTATTAAGAAATAGTTATGTGGACTCAACTAGCTGTAAGTATGATTGGGCAATGTAGTATTCAGCTACACCTCATATGGTTCTAAAAGGAAGAGAGAATTCTGTAATAACAAAATAGAGCAGTGGCTCATTCCTGTAATCTTAGCTACTCAGAAGGCTGAGACGTGGGGATCATGTTTCAAAGCTAGCCTGGTCAGAAAAAAATCTAAGATACTTCATCTCCAATTAACTAGCAAAAAGGTAGGCTGAACATTGTTGCCTTGGTGGAAGAGCATCACCAGCACCAAGTATGAGGTCTTTGAATTCAAACTCTAGAACAAAAAAGCACTAAATAGTTAAATACAGATAACATAGGAAGAGAGCCTGGCACTCTACAATAGAAAAGTCAAACAGAGGTTTTGCACAATTTGCATAATGGGAACAGAATAAACTTTATCAAACATGTTGAGAAAATTAAGTAATGACAAACAGCAGCATGGCTATCTTTTTGCCAATCAAAGTTGTGAGGCTATTGCTATTTTTTTAAATAAAGTTGTGCATTAAGATCTATAGAACAGATGTCACATATTCATACATCTTATTGTTACATTGAATGCAGTAAAGAGAAGAAAATTTTATGGAAATTTTCCCTTTTTGTTAAATAAATAGCATTGTCATTTTCTCTCACTGATCATTCCTGTTGAGATTGTTAATGGATAAATGTTTCCCACTGGGCAGGGTTTCAAAAGGCTGAAAGAAGTCAGAAAAGTCTTCCTTAATTATTAACTTGTTTGGCATCAAATGAAGATACATTTCACCTTCTCATGCATGTACCCCACATACTTTTCCTTTTAAAATTCCTCTTTAAGTAACAAGAGACTCATTGACTTCAATGTACATTTTAAACCTAGCGAAAGTCCCAGGTTAATTAACACATTTAGAAACTTTACCAGTGTATCTTTCTTTCCAATAGAAGGTGACAGCATGAATGTGGCTTTATATTGATTAATTGCATCTGTAACCCATACCATCTGCTACCAAACTGTGGTGTTATACTTGGTAAATTCTGTTTACTAAATTTATGAACCAGGCTTCAGGTAAATAGTTTGGGGATGTCAGGATGGTTGGTGAGACCTTAATTCCTACTTATTTTTACTTGGCAAGCAGTGTCATTATAGGGCAGACAAGATAGCATGAAAACTTGATTTGCCTTGGGATTAAAGCAAAGTGAATTTAAGTTATGAGCTAGGGTAAAGCAGAAAGTCCAAAGGGAAAATTATAGGCTGGATAGAAGAAGATTGAATTCTATTGAAGGAGTGATCTATTCCAAGCCACACTATTTTAGTAAACTTCCATTTTTCTCATTTTCATAATCATACTAGGACTTTAAACAGCTTAATGCATGTAAATATATAGAGGTCCATATGCATATATAAACAACTGTATATATTTATAGTGTGATTATATATATAATGCAATATGCAAATATATACATGAATAAATTATGGTGTAGACAGAACACTTTCAATGATGAAATACCTTTGAACAACTAACTTAGAGTCAAACAAAATGAGTACCTGGAAGTTAGCACTTGGGGTGTTCGGGGAGGTCAAGGAGAGGGGGCAAATAGAGTCATAATATTCAATGTATAACTACTTGAAGATAACAAAAAATAAAATAAAATAATACAATGCTATCAAAAAAGTTTAATGAAATTAACCAATTGCCAACGATAGTTTTTAATTATAACCACAAGGTACTAGGAAAATGAGCATGTTTGCAACCAGATTGTATATCAAAATAGTTTATCTTAACCTGTGACTGGCTAGGATTTTTTTGAGAGAACATTTTGGTATGTTTTTAAATGTTGACTAGAGCATAGAATTCACTTGTTAAATGAAATTCGATGTTCTTTAAGTAAAGATTACTTTTTTTGTATCTTTTTACCATAATTTATTATGCTACTAATATTTAACCTGGAAAGATAATCATAACAAAATACATACACAAAATTCTTTGTTATGGATTATACATTTCCTTATCATTCAAAT